AAAAAAAAAAAAAAAACGTCTGTCATTTTTAGGTTGTTTCTATTTTTATATAATGGATCGTTGCCAGTTTAGTTCAGATGATGGTCATGATGCCGTTTTCCTGGAGCAATTTTACTTCAACAAAATGTTGGAAGGACAATACATCAGCACAGTAGGAAAAGCGATTGGATATACAAAAGAAACGCAAGTGTATGCCAATATTTTGAACAACAATTCCGAGTTTATTAACCATCAAATCTGGAAAACAAACCTCTGCAAAAGAAATTCTCAACTGGCGTACAAAGAATTACTAACACCAGGTAATTTACACACAAGACAGTCCTGGATAAATCCAAGCCTTTTATGTTTGGAGGTTTAAGTAGAACATAATGAATTACATTTTGCTTATTATTTGTGTCATGTGCATGTTCTTTTTATTTTTTAGTGGAGCCCTATGTTTGGCTCAGGTCGGTAAAATCAGAGTACAGCCAACACTCACACATGCTCATCTGCAGTGCGTTTGACTTCTATCCAAAGCAAATTAAGCTAACATGGCTGAGAGATGGGAAGGAAGACACATCTGATGTGACCTGCACGGACGAGCTACCCAATGGGAACTGGCTCTACCAGCTCCACACCTACCTGGAGTTTACACCCAAACCTGGAGAGCAGATCTCTTGTATGGTGGAGCATGCAAGTCTCAGGGAGCCCAAGCTTTATAACTGGGGTGAGAACGTCTGCATCAGACATATGATAGACATAGAATGGATTCTACTTTAGATACCTGTTATATGCTACTTCAAACGCAACAGAGGTTTGATCAAAGGTTATATAAAAAGTTGTATGACAGTCATGAAGTCACTTGTAGGTAGCATAAGCATGGAACTAAAAACTAAAAATGTTTTTTAAATTACTTTTTTTAAATAACTGGATTTCAGATCCAGAACCAGATTTAGGGTGGAAAAAAATTGTTGTTGGCTCAGTAGGATTGCTGCTCGGCTTGATCTTTTCAATTACTGGCTTCATCTGCTACAAGAAGAAATCAACTGGTGAGACAATGTTTCACTTTAATGTTAAAAACACTTTTTACAATGACTTCAGTATCTAAATTATAACCATGTTTAAATAAACTTCAATTGAAAATGATCAAATGTAAGACCTAAGGTTTTAGTTTTATTTGTTTGTTCTTTTGTTTTCATTTTTTTTTTTCTTAAATATAGAGCAGGTTCTGGTTCCCACAACAGAGGTGAGTTTTTCTTATGTCATCTAAAGCACTCGTTGATATACTTGATTAATGAAATTATCTAATTTTATTCTTTAGGACGTGTGTCCTGAAGAAGATCTTTAGGTTACAAGATGCAGAAATGATGCAGACAACAAACCTGTTTGTTTTGCTGAACGTCTGAAAAAGTGTATATATCATTGTACATTATGTGACATGTTAGAGTTTGGACAGTTCATTCTGTTCATAATGATGTTTTCACAACCACACACATACCTATCAACTTCAAGGAACTAATATCGATCCCATATTTGAGGGATGTCAATGCCAAGAGTTTTCAATTTCATAAAATGTATTTGTTTTTCATATATTTCTGCAGACAAACACTAAAGAAAAATCCTCCATTACATTTCCACACATTTAAGGTTGAAATACTCAGTTAAACTGAATTAGGGTTAGGCCCCCAAATTTATAGAATATATCTAATCATCTGAAACAAATAGAGGTTGTTAAACTACCCCAAGATGTTTCGGGAGTAAGAGTAGACCTATGCTTAAAAAGGAGTTCAATCTATACTTTTACTTTTACCAGTTTGTACCAGTAATATCAGTTCTTTTGAAACTTAAATAGTAATTATACAATTTTAAGAATATTGCTTATGTAAAATCAAAAACTACAGTAAAACACTTTTACGCCATCTGCTGGACAATGTGCAAAGATGCAAAATGGAAAATAAAAGAACTAATTAAACTGATGTATTAGGAAACCATTGATGCCTTTGCTTTTAGGACGTCAAGAGGAGTTAAGTTTTGAACAACGTTGAGAACGTTAGTGAGGTTTTGATGTTTTCGTGTCTCATTGTGGAAATATTCCACAATCTTTTCTAACTTAGTTAAAACCTAGAAAGAAGGTGCAATAATAAGGTGATATCTTAGTGCATCTCTATTTTATAAGGTTACTTTGATTGCATATGATTGATTGATTGATTGCATTTTTAAGTTAGATTTACATTGACCAAAATGTAAAGTAGAAATTTCTTTACAACAACACTGATATTTTTGAGTTTTGCTTTTGATTGCACACTTCTATGCTAGACGTGATACTTAACCTCCATGGCATTTAAAAAACATTTGTTTAATGTAATTAGTTATTCTCAGGGTACTCATCTTTCAAGTTTACAATTATTCTTTTTGGCTTTTTCCTTTCAAATTTATTGGGTTAACCTTGATATTACAGTTTTTCTTTTGATTATACAGCTTTATATTGCTTTTGATTTTGTACCCTTTGCACACAGTTTTAGGTTGTTACTTAATGTAATATTGTAATTCTATCCCTCAAACATATATCTATTCTTCCTGTCATTGCCTTTAAAAAGCTTTTGTTTCAACATTTCAAATAAAAAATCAATAATTATGCAATAACTGTGGAGTTGCTTTTTTGGAGTTTGTGTGCCCACTTAATGGGAGGGGGCGCCAAGGCGCCACTCTTGAATTGGGCACCAAAGAATCTAAAGCCCTGCATCCCAGCAATTATTTTCTAAATGTTACTTTAGTAAATTTGGCTGAGTAAATATAAACTAGTTACTATCCATATCTGTAAATACTTAATTGTTAATCTTCCATGTTTTATTGGATAAATGTTTCCACATAAAGAGGCTCCCTGTTGTTGTTTCTTATCCATCTTAAATATGCAAAGCAACTGCAGAGTCAATGAAGAGTCAAAGAAGTGCAAATAAAAATGATTAGTGAGAGTACCATCCCCTGGGATGCTCCTTTTGGTTCTTTTAGACAAATTACATAAAATATCTAGAGCCAAACTCAATGTAAACTTTTTCAAACTGTGTGATTCTTAAGAGGTGTTAACTCTAAGCTGTTTTATTATACAGAGACCACAAAATGTCTCAAAACCAATAATGCAACAGTTTGTGCATTTTACAGCCTCTGCATCTAAACTAATGTCCTTGAAACATGCTGCATGCTAAGGTTAAATGTAACTATTATTACTTTAGTTATGTAAAGCAAATCCAATGATGCAGTATTTTCTTTTTAAACTATTGTGGTCACATGTTCCACTGTAAAATCCCGTAATGTCACCGCCTATAAAGGAAGGTGTGTCATCTTCCTGGTCTATTTCAGTCACCACCTGAAGCTCAGACATGAGGTTCTCTGCTCTCCTTATTCTCATTCTCAACACCTACTGCGTCTTCTCTCAAAGTAAGAATCTCTTAACTGCATTTTTGTTGGAATAAAGGTCAACATTTGTTTTAAAAATGTAAAAGCCTTACTTAGCAGAGTTAAGAAACAAGAGCAGAATTAGGGAATAATTGTAAAAGTTTTTCTCACAGAGAAACAAGTGTTTCATTAGACTGTATTGTTTTTCAGTTCCCCATGAAGCAACCTATTTTGTGGGCTGCTTTGAGAACGGCACTTCTGCAGTACAGTATGATTTTGATGGTGAAGAAATTTTATATGTTGATTTTTCAAGGAAGGAGATTGTGTTTACTGTGCCAAACTTCATCTATGCTCATCCAGACCAGCTCATAGCATCGTTGAGTGTCCTTAAAGATGCTCTAAACGGCGAAAAAATGTGTCAACCCTTAATGGAGTTTGTTATAAAGGAAGTTAAACCTTCATCTGAAGAAAAGGGTAAATACAAGTCAGCATTTATTTTCTGTTTTGAAATCATCAATAACATGGTAAGGAAACTTTTTGTTATGCTCTTTAGACCCTCCAGACCACATGATATTCCCTTCAAGAGAGGTAGAACCTGAAGAAGAAAACACCCTCATCTGCTTTGTGAATGATTTCTACCCACCTACTGTCAAAGTCAGCTGGACTAAAAATGGCCTCCCAGCTACAAAGGGGGTGTGGATCAGTGAATACTCTCCCAATAGCGACCAAACCTTCCGAATGTTCTCAACACTGAAGTTCACACCCACAGAGGGGGACATTTACTCCTGCACTGTAGAGCATCCTGCATTGGAGACTCCGAAAACAAGAATCTTGGGTAAAATGTTCATTTTTTTTTATGCAATATTTTAAAACTAAACACAGAATACTGGAATATACCAAAAGGTGATTTTTAATCTTTGGAACTTTCTCTTACAGAAATTGAATTCAACAAAGCAGATCCAAGTCTTTGGCCAGTTGTTTACTGTGGAGTCGGTGTGGCTCTTGGCATTTTGGGAATCACTGTGGGAGTGTTTTTTATTGTCAAGGCACAACATTTAAACTAATCTTGTTTATGATAAATGCTGTCAACACTGATGGTAAAGTAAATAATGCATATTTTACATATGAAAGTTGTTGAATTAATTTTTGTAATTCACATCACCTTTAAGCTCCATAGAGTATTTTTTTGTTTACTTCTTGGCTTTAGCAACAAGGTAAAGCCCTGCATATTGGTGGTGCACTGCTAAAATATTGGTAATTTATCAGTTAAACATTTAAAAGATATTAAAAAACTTTTTGTCATGTGTTACACTCTATGAGCTGTATGATCTATATTTTTGTAGATTAAAAAGACGGCAATTATTATGCTTTTTTTCTTGTTTTTGTGTTAGGTAATAAACTGAACATTCAATCTTTAAAAAATCTGAGTTGTTTGACATTTTGTTGCTCACTGTAGATCTGAAATATTACAAAAAAGAGTCTTGCATGTCTTCCTTATGAATCATATTAAGTTGTGTTGCTCTTAGTTATTTAAACAATTATGTTTGACAAAGTGCGGATACCAGATTTGAATCTATTTATGCAACCACTAAAAAATAGCTTAACATTTTAATGCAAGATGATGGAACATGCCATTATGCATGAAATAAGCTGTAAGTTATACGCATAATCTACATAACAGAAATGCATAAAAACAGATCTGAAAAATAGAATCAAGAGTAGAATCAACAGGTTGTTATTGTTGCTTGTTGAGAGTTTTTATCCTACTTTATTTTGTCAGTTTGTGTTTTCTTTGAAACATTTTTATGTTACATAAAGTCAAAACAGAACAAATGTTTCAAATACCTGTCCACCTTGCTGTAAATGTTAAGATAATGAATGATTCTGCAACTAACTTCTTGTTATATTGGGGCTTTTTCATAAAGCTGATTCTTCAGTGAGGGATCGTAGCAATTACATTTTTTTCCCCAATAATTACATATCCACTTCTCAGCACCATACAGCAGGCACTAATATTCCATGGCGGTGACAGAAGCCGGTTTTGGTCAGGGCAGCTGCCACTCCTTGTTACCGAATCTGCTACTTTACTTCCTCATTTTTGTTAATAAAGCTCATTTACCAGCGAGCCACAGTCTTAGTCAGATGTATTTTCTCAGCTGACAGCATGCATTTGAAAAACGTCTTCATTTTCCTGCAACTTTGGTTTTCAGCAGAAGGTAGGAGGATTCAGGCCAACAAAATCTTTAAAAATAGAGCTGCTTAAATAGATGTGCATTAACATTGATTTAAAGCAAATGTATTTCTTAAATTAAAAATTTTCCTATTGATAATTATGTTTTTTTTTTCTTTAGGTGCTTATTATGGCTATTATTTAGGCCACTGCCAGTTTAACTTTCATGATAGTCAAGGGGTTGTGTTCTTGGAGCAGTTGTTTTTCAACAAGTGTCTACTGGTCCAATATAACAGCACTTTGGGAAAAGTTGTAGGATACACAAAGGAGGGAATCATTTTTGCAGACATTCTCAACAAGAACCCAAGATTCCAAAAACATCAAATATGGAAAACAAACCGTTGCAATGATATTGCACATCTGTTATATGGAAATCTATCCACAGGTAATTTTCATATAATGTGTAAATGTTTTGGGCAAAGATTTAGATCAATTTATCTATATCTAATATTAATATGCATGCAGATATTTTAAACCTATGCAATAATATGAATGTTAGCTATTTTATGATGAAAGATGAGTCTTGGCTTGTCTCTCCTAGTGGAGCCCTACGTAACGCTGAGCTCAGTGAAAGCGGAGTACAGTCAACACCAACTCATGCTCATCTGCAGCATTTACAACTTCTATCCAAAGAAAATCAAGGTAACATGGCTTAGAGACGGAAAGGAGATCACATCTGATGTGACGTCCACTGATGAGCTACCGAATGGGAACTGGCTTTACCAATATCACTCCAACCTGGAATTTACACCCAAACCTGGAGAGAAGATCAGCTGCATGGTGGAGCATGCAAGCCTCAGAGAGCCAAAGATTTATAACTGGGGTAGGAAAGTGTGCATGAGAACAGAGGAAACATTTCCCCTTTTTTGCACCCAGTTTGTTGATGGATTTTCACATGTAATGCATAGAGGAAATTCTCTTACTTCCTATTAGAATAACCAGTAATGCAACATACACAGAGTACTTAACCAAGAGGATCATTTGTAGAACTTTACCGGGAAACTACTGAATGTAACTTTGAAACTGCAGTAAGAGCTGACAGGGAACAACTAGGTTATACCAGTCATGTGATTGTGGTCCACAGTTTAGTGGAAGGAGTGTATCTTTTCTGGCATTCCTGTCTGCTTTTATGACTGGTCCTATTTGAATCGTTATTCTACCCTTAACACTGAGTGGTTCATGCGAAGAACCCCTAGTGAATGGTATTTTGTAAACATAATTCCCCAATACAAACAGTATTTTTACTGTATACAATGGGACTCTTCCTTGGAGAGGTGGGAACAAAGAAGGTACTAGGGTTATCAAAAGTTTAATAATGTCTCATGAGGTTCATCAATCCTATACTAAGTTGAGAACCATGCAGAAGTGTGACTTTGAAGACTCTATAAAGAATGTATGGATTTATAGAGATCCATCCATCCTTCTTCTCCCGCTTATTCCGCTGCCTATCTCTGGCAGTCTGTGGGCGAGAGGCGTGTTTAACTCTGGACAGGTTACAAGGCAATTTAGGGAGATAAAAATGATGAAATTTATAATAGTCAGTCCTTGTACAGTCTAAGGACATTATCTTCTACCTACTGTACTACATACACTTATGATTTGAGCTTTCCTAAATCCTCAATGCATTTCTTAACTCAGAAAACCATATTCTTTTCTCTTCTATCTTCAACATTGCCTCTCCAGAAAATCTTCCTCTTTTTCTAATTCATGAATGTGATATTTTACTAAAGATGTCTCTTTCACCTCTCCTGTCTAAGCTGACTTATAGGTTTACAAACAGAACTGCTTTCAGTTAATGTTCATGTTGTCAAGAAAAAAACACTTCTCTCTATAGGCGATTCATCTCATGAAAATGCATAGATTAGAATTACCTTTATTATAAATGTATAACATGGGCTGACAGGTGGTTCTTTAGTGTTGTAGTATAAGAGCAAGAAAATAAGGTACGCACTCGAACTGTGTGAGTGTCACTTAAATATATACACAAACATTTTTAACTTACTTAAGATGCCTATTTGTTACTGCATAAGCTAGAATGCCTGTTGTGAAGAATTTATGCAAACTAAAATGCAGTTTGAGGATAAAAAATGGATGCAGATTTTTAATAACATTTGATCACAGTAGATTTGCTGTTTAAGCCATGTTAAACCTCTGGGGAGATTGATAGTTATGGTATTAGGAACTAATCAACTGTGCGTAAAGCCCTGTATTTAACTTTTACAATAAATTTTTTTCGTCCCTGTCTTTTTACCTTGGTTAGACCACCTGCTAATACTTGCATTGCTGCAAAAAAAAGCCAGTTTGGTCTTGAAAATGTGTTAGTAAAATACATTAAAAGGTTTGAGGACGTTGTCTTGACATTAATGTAAAGCTTTGTATTAGTTGAAATTGGATAGAAGTAAAATAAATGTGTTTTTATTTACCATGTTTTTCACATTAAACTTGTATTGACTTTGCTTTAATCTTTTGTTTGTACTAACAGTTCTTTTCTATTTTGGGCTGACTTTTTGCATGAATATAGAGCAATACCTAATTGAAGTCTAACATTATCTTGATGATCAATATGTTTGCAGAGCCAGAACATCATTCTGACAAGAAGGAGCTGGTTATAGGTACAGCAGGGCTGCTGATTGGCTTGTTGTTTTCAGTCGCTGGGTTCCTCTATTACAGGAGGACAGTCATTGGTGAGACATAGGCTCAAAATAATAGAAATACTATCATTTTAAAAATCTATTTTTCGTAGCATTTAAATTGTGGTACCTCAACATTCAATCTGATTGATTTCCTTCTGTTTCTAATGGCAGTGCGGGAAAGAGTGTCAACAACTGAGGTATGGAATTATATTCAGCAAAGGTTTCCTCTGCTTTATCTTAATCATTTGTTGAAGCATTTATCTAACACTGTGAATAATATTTTCTACAGGATATTTATCCAGAAAACAACCTTTAGTTTTGCTGGGGGTGTATCAGGGACAAGAGACGATGAGCTTCCCTCACCATGCATCAATGAACTGTTGGATAATGAGCCTAACCCCAAGTTATCTCCCAGTCTGTTTATTAGTACGGTATGTTAATGTCTGAGTGAAAAGAAGTGAATGAGTCTTGCAGCATGACACTGCTGTTTTTTTTTTTTTTTTTTTTTTGTTTGTTTTTTCTATGAATCAATAACACAGCTGGAAAAGTTACTCAAGCAGGATTCTACACAGTTTTTATCTTAAAATCTATACTCTAAATTTCTACATTTTTCTTGGAAGTTTCTGCAGTATTCTGGAAAATACAGTGCAGTTTAAACTATTGGTCTTTATTCCCATTAACAGTAGCTGGGTCTCATTCACTGATGTTTTTGCATCTAAACTAAAGTAAATCTGCTCTATTCCAAAATATGAAGCTTTTTTACTTGTTAGGAGATAAGAAGACTAGTAAGGAACACTGGATACAGACTTACAGCACAATTGGTTAACACTGCTAAAAAAAATAAAACAACTAAACATTTGCATTTTAGAGCTTTTGTTCTGCATTTTGAATGGCCCTATGTAAGAGCAAAAACTTGTGCCAAGTCCCATTTTTTGCTTTAATTTATCATGCATTAAACTGAAGTAGTAATGTGCATCACAAATCACAGTACAATTCTAATACAATCCATTGCATTTATTAAGTATGACTAGATTTCTTTTTTCATTTTATAAAAAGGAAAAAAGGTTAAAAGGTGAGCAAAGCGTCATTTTAATTTATTTTATATACCTCTTCGTTACTAAAACTGCATTGGAATCCAGCTTAAAAATGTTTTAATGTAATAAAAAGCTGTTAATATCTTTATTTTTTTTATGTATGCATATCAACAGATGTGTATGTTAATTGTTTAAATACAAATTGATAATGCATGTTATATATGAATGTTATAACAGGATTTGTTGAACACTATTTTTATGTAATATATAAACTAAATTTGATTTTTGTCAAAACTAATGTCAAATTCTGTTTTTAACCCGGATATGAGAGTTAATAAAAATTTTGTCCGATAGAAAAATAAAAAAGATTATTTTGTTCCATTTCCATTTTGCAGTGTTTTTCTTCTATTAGAACCTTCTATTTGTAAACATTTGGTTGGTTAAGGACCGAAATGCAGAGATGAGTGAGGCAGAGATGATTTGTTGTAGGTGTAATAAAGAAAAACTGAGGCAAACATCCAAAAAGACATAAATACTGAGAACAAAAAACCCGCAAACATTACGGAAACTCATGTGGGGTACCAGAGACGAGGAAGCAACAAACAACAGTGAACCAACACTGATGAGCTACACAGGGAGAGTATATATGGGAGACAGAACAAAGACTGGAGTAATAAGTTGATATGGAGAAGGTATGGATGGAAGAGACTAAGAGGGAGTCAGGGGAAAGGAGACAGGCACAAGGGGGAAACAGAGAGTAACTTAAGACTGCTTAAATATAACATAAAATGTAAAATAAACCAAAGATCAACAAAACAAAATTACTGATAACTGAAAACTCAAAGTCCCAAAAGGGGGGAACCATAACACTATTGGGCTTATGCATAAACAGGGAAGCATATATCAAAGTGTGTTTAATTGCTCCACATTTTAACATTTTTCTTTAGTGAAGCACATGGCTTAAATATGAACATGTGAATAATGATGTGATGCCTGCTGAGGAACTTTCCAGATGAAACCGGTTATACCAGATGTACGTCTAATAAACGTAACATTGAATTTATACTCACAGCAGGAAAATAACGTCTATAGTGAGGCATAAAGCAGGGCACTGACATGATGTGATGTAAACAGAAATCTGAATTTACTGAGAACCTTTATTATACTAGTGTTTTCCCAGACAAATGGAAGATGTACCAATGTGCTAATATGTTTAGGCATGAAATGCTTGGGCCTATTGTTACATGTCAAGAGGCTAGGCACACCCAGGGCAAATCCCCAGTTTATCACATGATTATAAAAAAAAATACCTACCTATGAAAGCTTACCTCTGTCACATGAACCATGGTGAGCTATGGAACAAAAGGAGGAAGCTGGCAGGGCCAGAAAAGGACTGCGAACAAATGTAAAAAAAAAAAAAAGACTACACTGTCAAGATTTCAACCAAAGATCTGGAAATGAGACAACAATAATGTGAACAAATATGCATTTAGACCCAGAGATTTACTTAAAAAAAAAAAAAAAAAAAATCAGGCATTAAAGTTTTATCTACCCTTACCAAAAATAAACCTACTTGAAGTTCATGTTTTTAAATTTACAAGAGTACATAATATCCAAGTTCATTGATACAAGTATACTAAAAGTTTGATAAAAAATTATATCTTAGTATTAAATTGGCTCACTTTAAAGTGTAAATCACCCCTTGTGAAATCATAATCCTGTACCCATATAAAATTTGAAAACTGCCACCAAAACTTTTGGTGACAAGAGACCCCGGGGTTCAACTTATGTGGGAATGAGAGCCGTGGATTAACGAAGGTGTGGTCAGAATGAGGCCAAGTGCAGGTGTCTTAGCATAGCTTCGACATATTGAAGCATGGACAGTGGGCAGGGGGACTCTGTTACAACACTCATACCACTCAGGTATGAGTGGTATGAGGGAGCCCTAAATTAATTTTATACATACACACACATACCTTGTATGTATACAGTACATATGTATATACCAGTATTCAAAAATATATTTATATAACTTTATTTATTTATTT